ATGAGATTTTATAAGCAAACTGAGGGCTTGGGCTTCTCCTGTGAGAGAGTGTGAGGGAAGGTGTGCTGGCCTTGGGACAGCTCTGTGCCATGTCCTGAGGAAGTTGCCTTACCACTGTTCTGCTCCCTCTGAAGTACCTTTTTACAAGGGGCAGGATGGAAGCTGGTCCTTCCCATGATTGTGCACACTCTGTCCCCTGGCAGCTGACAGTGCATCTGTGACAGCCTCCTGTGCTGTGGAGGACCCTGGCTAGCTCTGCTCAGCTTGGAGCAACGATTTGTGCATCATCAGTACTGGATTTCCAGTGAGAGAAAATCCTGATTACTCTGTATTTTTGATAAAATGAGCCACAGGGTATCACCATATATCTTTCAGTATAATCCTAAACCAGTTGAAACATGTGCTTATTCTGACTAACCATCCAGTTCCGTCACCTAAACCTTTCTTTCCTTTGAGCTTTGATGAACAATGGAAAACATGGGACTGCAGGCAGTCCTCATCTCTGTCAGTGTGCTGTATAGGCTGCTGATGACTGGGTTCCTCCCCATCCCTCTCTGTGGTCACTGCTGTGCAGGGTGGGTTTGTGCTGCCTGAGCAGGGTTTCCTTCAGACACAGACACTGCTCACTGCAGGAGCAGAAGGGCACCCCCAGCATCTGGGCACAAAGTGTTCAGTGCTGAGATTGCTTGGAAATAGCTGCTGCTGTTTGTAAACTAAACCCTGTTTCAATACAAATTAATTTGTACACCCAAACAAGCTATAAGAATTTTCCTTGTTGTATTTTGCTTACCTTATAATTAGGCTTTTACTGGACACGTCCTGGTCTCCATTAAGTGACAAATCACTCCAGTGTGTGGGCACTCTGCAGCCTCCAAGAGCATCATGCCTATACCATAATCCTCTGTGACATGTCACATGCATGTTGCAACTCCTCTGAGTTTCAGTGCTAATTGAAATACCAGTATTAATTGTGGAAAGTTAGTCATGCAGACTGAGCTGCAAGGGGAAGCTCTGGAAGCTGTTTCGTAACTGTTTGTGTTTTGTAAGTGCTTCACCCTGAGGTGCAGGGGCAGTGCTGGGATCCTTGTGTGCAGGGGTCCCAGTGCCACAAAGGGCTCTGAGATAAGATTTCTGAGATAAGTGAGATAAGATTTCTGTGGTAGTGTTGTGCTGGTCAGAATGGATAACTTCCCCAAACCTGCTATTTTTAGGGTATTCCTAGAGGTATGGGGCACACTTTAAGAGAAATAGGATGTATAGATGTATAGAGAAATTATGGTGACATTTATATACCCCCAACCTTATAACTTTTAAAATTTATTTTTCATGGAGAATTTCAGAAATTTCTCCTGCATGTATTGTGCTCTTTGTAGCTCACTTGTTACAGGTGCTTTGTAGGTCACTTGTTGTAGATGACATTTTGGGGTCTCTTTCTGCACACATTGACCTATTTTTCTAAAAAAGGTATGTTAAAAAATATTTTTGCTTTGAAATGTTAAATTAGTCTACTTTTGCCATGACGCTACTGTAATTCATTTTATTTATATTCCAGTTCGGTGTGTTCCTAAACATAAATATTTAAAAAAAATCACTTTGGAGAAAGATAAATGATGCATGTTGAAATATGGGGCGATTTCAGGGTAATGTGGCACGTGGCTGGAGTTTCCTAAAGAGCCTGAAAACATCACCACCCTACGTCATGCTGCATTCACTCTGTAAATCCCCGCAGGCACACGTTTTGCTGGCTCAAGCAGGGGAGAGCTGCTGGCTGTGCTGTCCCTGCTCCCTGGCCTGGCTGGGATCTCACTGCTGCCCTTTCTGCAGCGCTGGCACAAGGAGATGGGTGCTCCTGGCAGCTCGGGGAGCCTGCACTGCTGCTGGGCTTTGTGGGGTCATGTCCTTGCCATGGCCAAGGGGAGAGTGCTGGCTGGGCTGGAGGAAATCCAAGTGGTTTCCCTGGTTTTAGGGGAAAACCAGATGGACATCAATTGGGAGATGTAGGGGGCTTCTGAGAGCTGCAGGAAAGTTTCTTCAGCTAGTCACAGAGTCAAAAGGAGAGGAAGGAATTTGTGGGTGCTGAGGAAGGGCTGCCATCCAAGTTCCAGGGGTGATCCTTGATTTACAGGAGTCAGTTCAGAGCCCAGGATAACATCTGGGAAACATCTCTGCAGACTGCTGGTAACTGCCTTGGGAAGGCAAAGCATTTGTGAGGAGGTGGCTGGGAGGGCTGGGGTGCGGGTTTTGTTTTGTTTTGAGTTTTTGCTGTAGGCTTCCTGTGTCAACACTGCCCGGCCTCCAGCTGCGCTTGCGAGTGGGGAGAGTGTCTGTGCTCCTGCAGGAGGGCTGCCAAGGGAAATGAGCTAATCCTGCATGAACAACGTCAACAAGTGGCCACACCAGCACCAACTGAGACAGCCCAGCTGCACCTTTGTCTTTGTGAAGGTCCAGATGAGCTGATCCTCTGCCACAGAGGTGGGAGCTGCTGCCATCCTGCAGTACACACACAGTTCAGCTTGGTCAGTCAGGCTGCCCTCCTTCTCACTGTGCCTGGTTTGTACAGCTGGCAGAGAAGCCCAGGGGCAGAGGGATGAGTCAGTGCACTCTCCCGGGCAGGGATGCACCATCCTGCCTGTAGAGCCTGAGCTGCAGCATGGCTCTGCATCCCCCATGTCCCCACAGGTTGTGGTGGCGGTGAAGCCAAGTGTGGCTGCTGCTCTCTGCCTTCAGCTGTGTGGTTTTGGGTCAGGTCTCACCCAGCTCTGAGCACAATGCAGGGCTCCTGTAATAGAAGTGATGAGAGTTGAGGCTATTCACCCACCTTTACTGTGGGCAGAGAACAAAAAGGACATTTGTTCAGTGACACTGCACTGAATGTTCTACACTGCTGGTTTATTGTATGTGTGCGGAGCAGAGGGCACCAAAATAATACAAATGGGAACAATAACATATGGTAGCACACTTCTAACTCCATTTAATCTTCTTTATTTGTGAATATTTTTGTGGTTTGTCTGTGTTTTGAAGAAAGGAGAGAAAATTCTGCCTCTCTAGCCTTGTTTGAGGAAGGGGACAGGCAGCCCTCTGTGGCTCTATTGCAGTAGATGGGTGAATACTTTGCATTTTGCTTGTCACCTGACAAGCTGGTTTATAGTTAGATGAGGAGAGAAAGCATGTGATTCTAAAAGCTGTGTTTTCACTCAGCCCATGTGTGCTGAGTTATCAGAATCAGGTTTTAATTGTTTGCTGTTATTTTTCCTGTGACTTACCAGAATTATGGTCCTGCCATGTCAAACACATTCCTTGAAAGCAAGGTGTCCAAAGGAGGGGGCTTTAGAAAATTGAGACTTCCTCTGTACCAGCCAGCACAGCAGGTCTATTTTGAGGAGGAGGAAGTTTGGAAAATCCTGACCCTTTGGTGTTATCATCTTGGTCTGTGCTATGACACTGGGCAGGGCATTAGCTCATGGGTGACAGATACCATCCATATTTGAAATTCCATCCCTAAAGCTGAGGTTTTGTTCTCAGCTGAGTTGTTCTTGAGAACAGGGAGGAAAGCTCAAGCTGGTAGAAGAGGGAGTATGACTGACTATTCACTTCTATCTTCTGAGCACCCTGAGCAATTAAAGACAAAAGCCTTTGTTCCCTGGTGACTTCATTCTTAAGAAGCCTTTTTAATTTTAGTCTTTATTTTCAGGAAGAAATAATATAGATTTGTCATTGACAAGAAGGCTGCATCTCTCAAATGTCATGTCAAGGATCCACTCCATAATTCATGGGCTGGGGAGTGTGGGTGTCAAGAGGAGGGTGCATAATGGATATGAGAGATTTCAGCTCAATTAAACTATTGGTCTTAAAGGCAGCATTTCTTGCCTTCGTGATATTTTCTTGACTCAGATCGCCACATTTTTTGCTAACTCATCCAGATAACCAGATATTTTTAGTCTTCTTAAGTAAAACTGTAGTGAGTTATTTGTTATTTTTGCAAATCATCTTCCCCTTTCAGTGTGGCTGGGGACTTGCATAGTAATATCAGAGCAGTGCTGGTTATTTCCTCTTATTTCTGCCACTGCTGCTGTGAGCCATGCATTTGTGTGTGTGGAAGTGCTGCTGTTTCTGATCCTGCTCCTTGCATGGATTCTGGGAGTTCTGCCTGTTGTGTGATGAGATGTATTGCTGTTGGTGTGCTGAGACGGGCATGGGCTGTGGGACCTGAGCAAGAGCACACCTGAACCTGCTGGAGGTTTGAATGAAGGTGTGGACTATTGGCTTCCTTGCTGCTGGGAGGTTGTGGCAGGCTCAGAGCTCCCGAAGGGGATTGCTGGGTCTGTCAGGTCTGCTAGGCAGGAGGGGTCAGCTCCTCAGGGCTGGCACTGCCTCCCAGCTTTGCTGTGCTCCTTCCCAGGCACAGTAAATCAGCTGCCTGGCTCAGTCTGAGGGGAATTAAGGAGCTCTCCTCTGATTCTCTTCTCACACAGTCAGGCTGGAGGTGTTATGAGCTGACAGAGCTGTGTTAATAAGCGAGCAGCAGCAGCAATGGAGTTATCATGGTGATTACACAGCAAAACCAACCTGCAGCACTGGAGGTGCAGCTTTATCTCAGCATTTCTTCTTCAAGGGCTTCTTTCTTGTGGTGTGTGTTTGTGTGCAACTCCTCTGTGGTCAAAGCCCGTCAGTGTGGGAGGTGTGTGGGGCACACCAAGAGCAGGAGCTGGGGCTCAGAGCCTGTGAGTAAGGCACGAGTGAGCAAACACGTTGGTTGTGGAGTAATCTGTTTGCAGAGGAGCTTCCTACTACAGCTGACAAAACTGTGACATTTCAAAAGAAATAAACTTTACAAAACACCAGCTCACTGATACAGAGCAGAGCTGGTGGAGCCGTGTCCGTGTGTACGTCTGCAGGAAGTGAGTCACGCTCTTACAAAATCAGCATCGCAAGCATCTGTGGCATTTATGACAGTTCCCGTCTGGGGCTAAATCAGATCTCTCGTCTCTGCAGGCTCTGCTCCGGCCTCAGGAATGTCTGCGGAGCCCAGCTCCTCCTCCTCGCCGCCGTGCCCCGGCCCTGCGCCGCCCAGCTCGCTGCACCTGCCCGAGAGCCGGCGGCCGCGGGAGCGCTCCCCGTCCCCGCTGCGGGGCTGCCTCATCCCCAGCCCGCTGCCCACCCGCCGCACGCGGACCTTCTCGGCGTGAGTACCGCCCTGCCGCAGCCTGCTCTGGGAGCGGGAAATGCCTGTTCTCACCGCGCTTTTGGGGGACTTTCACAGAGTTATAACAATGATAACTTATTGGTGCAAACGACCTACAAGTGGCCTTTTCCTGCCCTGTTTCTGTTCTTTTCAAAAACTGTTTGCAAGCACACCTGAGCCAGCTGGAGGTTTAATGAAGGTGTGGACTGTTGGTTTCCTAGCTGCTGGGAGATTGTGGCAGGCTCACAATAAATGAAATAAAATGTTTTTATTAGTTAACCAATCAAATATTAATTTTATTCATTATTACTTTTTAATTAATACAAAATTAATACAAAAGAATTAATACTTTAAAAAATTTTATTAATTGACCAATCAATGTCAAACCTATCTATAAAATAAGAGAATTTTCATATCTAGCTATACAAGAAGATAATTGCAATATTCTTTTAACTATCTATAAAAGAACCAACCAATGTCAAACCTATCTGTAAGAGAATTTTCGTATCTATCTATAAAAGAAGAGAATTGCAATATTCTTTTAACTATCTATAAAAGAACCAACCAATGGCAAATGTATCTATAAAAGAAGAGAATTTTCACATCTATCCATAAAAGAATTGCAATATTCCTTTAACTCTCTATAAAAAAGGAGAAGAAAAATGCTTTTATTAATTAACCAATCAAGTAGAATATGTCAAATCTATCTATAAAAGGAGAGAATTTTCATATTGAAACTACTGTTCTGCAAACCAACATTCTAATATTCGGTGTAATTTCTTACTCAACAGTAACAGGGCGCAGCCAGCAGCCCCTGGAGGGGGCCTGGTGTCTGAAGCTGCTTTGTGATACTCTTCTCCAAGAAGTTCTGATGCCTTCGGACTTTCAGTCCAAATGTACTATAGTTTTTCAATGCTCTGTTTTAGAAAAGGATGTTTGAAGTCACTTGGCTCTTTAGGACAAAAGTTTTACAGGGAGGGGAAAATACACCAAAAGCCCTCAAAACAGTTTGTTGTCTAAAGCTTTGCTTCACTTCTGGCATTGGGTTGTGGCTTCCAGGACCAGTTTGTGTTGGTGCTTCCTTCTCAGATCCTGATTTTTTTTTTTGGCATGGTCTCCCTTCTCACTGCCCCTGAAGCACTGGACCAAACCTCACTGGAAGTTTTAGGTTTTTACTCCTGACACCTGTGCTAATTTCATCAAAGTTACATTTTAGGGATGCTCCATCACTTTTCAGAGGAAAGTGGCTTATTATTCAGTGGGATTAGTTATTATTTCCTTGTTTCCTTTTCATATTCAACTTTCATGCCTTCATCTTAAGATTGCTCAGATAGACCTGTTAAAGAATGTGAGTTATCAGGGTGTCACCCCATATCTCTTTCTCTAAGGTTTTTTGTATGAGGTTTTCCGTGAAGCAAGGTAGTATTTTTTGCTTTTTGTAGCAATCTTTCAGCAGAGCTGGCTTTCCCTGGTCTTTCCTGGGGCCCAGTGGTGCTGTGCAGGCTCCTGTGAGCCCTGTCCAGAGGGAACCCCTCCCCAGTGCAGCAGCTGAGGATGGTGTGGCCAGGTTTGGCCATTGCAGAGAATTCCCAGTGCCTGTCAGGGGCCCCCCAGTGAGGAGCTGACCTGAGGAAGGCAATGTGGGCTCCTTTGTTCATCTCAAAGCCTTTGAATCTGGGTGCAATGTGAAGCTTCTGCCACAGCCTTTTATTTCTGTGTGAGGAAGGTCTGGCAGTGCTGAATGAAAGCTGTGGCAGTAAGATCTCTGCCCCCCAGCCAGTCTGTTTTGGGCCACTCACTCTGGTTTGTGTGCTTTCCCCCTTTTGCTCCTTGCAGTGTTATCCAGCTCTTTTCTTCCAGAGTTATCCATCAGGATTTAAATAATAAGTCTCACTGATGCTTCATATTATTACTTCTGAATTCAAAATGAGGCAAAAAAGAAGAGAAGCAGAAGAAAAGTTTATATTTTGTCAGTTCCAAAAGCTTTCAAATGCCCTGAACTTCCTGATGGAAGTAGATTGCTGAAAGGAACATAATTGACTTAATAATTGGGGTTGCCCTTGAAAAGCAAGTCCAAGCTAGCTTGCTTCAGTGCTGTGTTAATAATGAACTCTTTGTAAATCTTCTCAGCTGTTAATCTTAGTTTGGTTCTTACAAAAAGAAAGAATTTGTTATTTGGCTTCCACAGTCCTTTAATCATTAATTAGTGTAAGAATCTTGCTGTATTTGTTTGCCCTGAAAACCAAAATAGCTCTGAATTTTTTGTGTGTGTGTCCTCTTTAAGCAAGAGCTCTAGGTGAGCAGTTGTATAAAGAGATGAATGTGACAGGCAGTGGCTTATTATTCAGTGGGATTATTTAATTTTGGTTCACTGGGAGTGGGGGGCCTCATCCCCCACAGTGCCTTATCTCTTTGAAAGATGCAATTGAACTTTAATAGCTTGTTTAGGACAGTGAGTGCTTTTCTGTGTAACAAGCACTTGTGAGGTCAGGTGTGTTGACAGCTTTATAGAGCTGGAAATGAAGTGATTTAATGGAGATTTCTTTCTTTAGCACTTTCAACTACATTTCTTTATTGTTAGTTTGATTTAAGGAACAAAGCTGTTACCATTTTTTAAAAACAATTTCATTTAGACTTCAGTAAAATTTAAACATTTGGGACAATGGTGTCCAAGTTGCCATGATGCACGTAAACAAATGGCAGAGCTGTCATTGTGTTTGAAGAATTGCAACAAAATCCTCTTCTAACATGGAACCTACTGGATATTCCTGGCATGAAGAAGGTTCTGACCTAAGCAATGCTCAGAGTAAACCCCATAATATGTCTAAACCAGTTGGTTTTCATTAATGGAAGTGTTTGAGTGAGTTTGGATCCCTGGATCATTAATGCAGGAAAGGATTTAACCACACAGTTTTCAGGACAAGTCATATTTTTCATGGCAGTATTGCAGATTGCAGGTTCTGCCAATGTGTCTCATTTAAAATACAGGTCCCATGGCAGTGGAGGAGGAGCTCAGGCATGAGTCTGGCTGTTTGCACTACAGCTGGGCTTCACACTTCCTGTGAAATCTGTGAAAGCACAACACTTAGGTGGACACTGGTATTCCCAAACTCATCAAAGGTAGAAGATTCGTACATTTAGCAGAGATGATTTGTTTTGGTGTTTGATAACACTTGTGTGGAGCCACTTCTCTTTTTTAACTGACTGGATACAAGGGAGCCCTGCATCCTTGTGCTTACTGCAGACAGTTCACAGCTTGGTATAAATAGTTGTGCTAGGGAAATGTCATGGCTCTTTGGTGTGATGAGGTTTTGTTTTTCTCAGATTCATACTTCACCCCTCTCTAGAACAAACACAAAATGTGCTTGCTGTAGTGAATATACAGTGAATAGTGAATATTGCTAGTTGGCAAGCATGGAGGCAGAGGAGTTGCTGAGATAGTAATTCAGATAACATCTCTGGAAAGCAGGAAGCAAAGGCAGGATGGTGTCTGGAAGTGGAAGATTCTCACATTTAGTATGTTTTCTGGAGGAAAACCTGACCCAGTGATGGAGCAGTTCAATTCAAGATGGCAGTTGATGCATTATAGTGCTGACAAACATCATCTTCATCTGCGTGTCCCTTCCAAAGGCCCCGGCAGTGCAGTGTGTGGCAGTGAGAGCTGAGCGCTGCTGCAGAGCTCATGGGGGGGGAGGGAGGGAGGGCTTGGCCACTGTGCTTTCTGCCCAGTGTGCCCAGGCCTGAGCTGCTCTTTGTGCTTCCTCCTGCAGCACGGTGAGAGCCTCGGAGGGGCCCATCTACAAAGGGGTCTGCAAGTGCTTCTGCCGCTCCAAGGGCCACGGCTTCATCACGCCCGCTGACGGAGGGCCCGACATCTTCGTGCACATCTCAGAGTGAGTTCTGCCTGTCTGCCTCCAGCCCCACACTGCTCTGCACAGAGAAAAGCAAAGCACAGCTCTTCCCAAGAATATTCTTATCTCATTTGCTGTGCCTGTCTTTGTGCCAAAGCAGAATGCAATATGGAGGTTGTTTACCCAGAGTGATGGGGTTTTGTTTCCTTGGCCTGTCAGGGCCAGGGGTGTGTGTGTGTGGGCTGACAGTCATGAGATTCTGGGCACAGTGTGCAGAGTTGAGTGCTTGGCAGATTCAGTGTAGATGTAATGTAATATAGTATAGAATAATACAGTATAATAAAGTAATTAATTAGCCTTCTGATAAGATGGAGTCAGACGCATCATTTCTCTCTCCCCCTTGTCAGGGGTTCCCTGCAAATACAGTATGTGCCCAAGGGGAGCTGCAGCTCTGCTTTGCCTTCATTACCAACTGCTCTCAACATTTCAGGCACAATCTGGTTTATAATCTGTCATCCTCACTCCAGCAAAGAGGGGTTATGCAGATGTTACTGGCAGCAATAGATTATTGCTGTTAGCAGTTCTTTTCCTGTTATTATTATAAATCTGTTGAGTTAAAAACTAGAAGATGATCCTTAAATCTCTTAGAATAACCTATGAGTTTTGCCTAGACCCAGAAACTTGCATTCACCTGAAGCAAATATTTCATGCAGTGTCTAGTTTTAATGTAAAGATTTATAACACTGAAAATTCACTACTTTTACTTTGCACTGCTTGTACCATTATTAAACTAAAGGTTAATTGCCTTTACTGTTAAGAAAAGTCACACTTTATTACTTCCTTGAATTTATCTAGCTTAGATTGTGAGCAATTTATAGCTGAAGCTTTCTCTGTTAAAGGGTTCATTAGTGCTTGAACCCTTTTTGTTCTGAACACACTGAGAACCACCCCCTCTGAATTTACCTTTTGATAAACTAAGCAGATAAAGCTTTTTAAGTTCCTTGCTGAGAATTTTTCTCCAGTCTAAGCCAGTCTTTGCAGCATGCTTAGAAAAGAGACTGAAGAATTTAAGCATAATGTTAAGACTATACACTGCGCACACAGTTACAGTGTAAGGAGATAAAATCTCCTCCAGTTCTGCTCTGTTTCTCTTTCTGTACATCCCATAATCGCATTAGCCCTTTATCCCCAGTCTTTGCAGAGTTGCTTATCTGCTGTGACCTCAGCATCCTCTGCAGTGTCAAAGTTTGGTGCAGATCCAGCCTGGCATTCCCAGCCGTGGCTGCATTCCTGATTCCTGGATGTGAGAGTCTTGGCTTGGCTGCAGGGCAGCACATCCCCTGGGACAGCCCTGCCTGCCCAGCAATGCCCAGCACATCCTCTGGGACAGCCCTGCCTGCCCAGCAATGCCCAGCACATCCTCTGGGACAGCCCTGCCTGCCCAGCACATCCCTGGGACAGCCCAGCACTCCCCAGCACATCCCCTGGGACAGCCCTGCCTGCCCAGCAATGCCCAGCACATCCTCTGGGACAGCCCTGCCTGCCCAGCACATCCCTGGGACAGCCCAGCACTCCCCAGCACATCCCCTGGGACAACCCTGCCTGCCCAGCAATGCCCAGCACATCCCCTGGGACATTCCCTGCCTGCCCAGCAATGCCCAGCACATCCCCTGGGACAGCCCTGCCTGCCCAGCAATGCCCAGCACATCCCCTGGGACATTCCCTGCCTGCCCAGCAATGCCCAGCACATCCCCTGGGACAGCCCTGCCTGCCCAGCAATGCCCAGCACATCCCCTGGGACATTCCCTGCCTGCCCAGCAATGCCCAGCACATCCTCTGGGACAGCCCTGCCTGCCCAGCACATCCCTGGGACAGCCCAGCACTCCCCAGCACATCCCCTGGGACATTCCCTGCCTGCCCAGCAATGCCCAGCACATCCCCTGGGACATTCCCTGCCTGCCCAGCACTCCCCAGCACACCCCACACTCTGCCCTTGGTGTTTATGGCCTGGCTAATCTGCAAGGTTTAATGGGCAATTTTAGGATTTGTTCCTAGGCTGGGATGTTGACCAGTGCTGTTGGTCTCTGAGGGTGTGTTAAGACTGATGTTTATCCTCCTGTAACCTTTTCTAGATCTACCACCAGTTTTATTTTACCTAGTGCTCACAGTACTGAAGCTGTATAATCCTTATCTGTTGTTCAGAGTGGTTATCCAGTGATAAGTCAACAAAACCTCACCAAACCCACTCCCATTGCCCCAGCTGTCTTTCCTGGCTGTGTGTGCAGCACATGTCCTTGGAGAAGGAGCACTTGGCTTTCCTCCAGGTTTCTGGAATGTTGCTGCACCATGGGCATTGACAACCCAGAGCTTTGTAGGGCTCATGGGTGCAAATAGGCTCAGTGATCTGACTTGTGTTCAACCCAAGGAAGTGACATTTTTAATATCTCCTTTCTCTTTTGTCTAATGCAAATGCACTATTTCTCCTCATTTCCTGAATAACTTAAAAATAGCATTTCCTATGTCACAATTTAAAAAATTTAACTGTGAACATCTAGTCTGACCTATACAGTTACTGATCAGCAGGGGTTTAGTTACAACAGCCTTCTTGCAGAAACATGAATTTTCAGCCTTCTAATGAATTCCTTTTAAAGAACTGTCTATTTTCAGTCCTGTTTTTTTTTTTTTTTTTTTGCCTTGTACATTTTCTCTTCCAACTAGTTCAGTAAAATTTTCTTCAGTTATGTGAAATTATTCCTTTTAAAACCCCGGGGATGACTTTTTGATTGGGGTTGCTGTTTTGTTTGTCTGTACAAAATGTGAACTGCTCTTTCAAGTTCCTATCCTATGGCCCAACACATCTTTGTCTTGGATTTGATTCTGGGTGCACAAGGTGTGCCTGCCCTCAATTCCCCTCCACTCAGTAGCAACTCCAGAGATGTTTTTCTGTTTCCCTGTTTAAGACTCCCATATGTCTCCTATGCTGAGGTCCCAAGTGACATTACAAAAATAGCTTTGTGTGATTTTTATGTGATTTTTGGTGCTCTGTGCGAGGCCCCTGTGACAGGAGTCCCCTCTGGTGGGCTGTGCTGTTGGTGTATTGATCCCATCTGCTCTCACACTGCTCTGAGAGCCATCAATAATAAACTGTACTGGAGTAACTGGAGAGCTGTGCCACCCTCCCCTGCCTGCCACCCACTCCCTCCATCCTAAACCAGCCAAAAGGTTGTAAAAGTTTATGGCCAGCCTCACTTGTGGAGGTGTTTCCAGTGCTTGTTTGGCTGGCGCAGGAGGTTCTCTGCTCCTCCATCCTTGCACCACCCTGTGTGGGGAGGCTGAGCAGGGCAGGGCTCAGAGGGGCAGAGCTGCTCTGTGGGCAGGGTGGGAGGCTCTGGGCCCTCAGACACAGCCCAGCCACAGCCCAGCCTGGCTCTCTGTTCTCAGCTGCGTCATTTCAGTGCATTTCACACCAGGAGCAGGCTCCATGTGCTGTGCTGTCCCTGCAGGAGAAGGCTGCAGGGCACCTCCTGTTCCCCACCCACTCCTGTGGCACCTGTGCCTTTCTGCAGAGGCTTTTCCCACCCCATGGTTGGCAGTTCAGTGCTGAGGGTCCTCTCCCTCCCTGGTGATCTCCTCCTGCCCCAAACGGGCTCTGAGCCCTTTGTGGGGTTTACTGACTTGGCTTTCACCATGGGCCTCCACTTCTCCTTCCATCTCACAGCAGGCAAACCATGCCCTGCTTCTGGCAGAATCTGTGTGCTCAAAGACTCTTTTCCTTGCTCTTTCAGAAGCATCTTAGTTCATACAGATTTTGTAGGACTGAAGTGTTTTGTGTTTTTACAGCTTCTCTAGGTCAATTCTGCTTTCTTGAAGTCAACAGCATTTTCTATTGTAGCAGGAATGGGCCCCTGTTTGAAATGTTTCACATGTAGGTACTCTCTCAGAGCTTCAGTTCAAAAATAGCTGATGTTTCTGCCTCAACCTGTTAGTGAAAAGTGCTATTATTGAAGTACTGAAGGTTTCAGCACATTGTGTTCTTTAATTACTCAGAGTATATTTGAGTTGCTGGAAACAGCTTTTAGTGCTGGAGGGTGATGGTGTCACTGTCTTAATTCTGATGCAAGGCAACACTGGAAGGACAAATTAGTACTGCCTTTCATTTCAGTTTATTTCACAGTGAATTTGATAGATTGCTCTTTATTAACTGGAATTGCTTTTTGTGGCAGCATTCTGTAACCAGGCCTGTGGCTCAGGGGACTCCAGTGGCTCTGGTTTGCACAGAGTTTTCAGATCCTCATCATGTTTATCAAGGGATTCTTTTCCATCTATTTATTCAGTTAAATCTGAATGTGAGGGAGATGTTAGCCTGTTCACTGCTCAGTGTGGTACAAGCATCTTCTCATGAAATGAAAGCGGATTGTTCCTCCCAAATTCTTCCCAAAAGCTGGGATTTCATGAGCTTGGATAAAATGGTTATGCCACTTTGGATTCACCAAGATAGACGGTTCCTCTGTGCTCATCACTAAGCTGTGATGATTAGTGAAGGCTTTAAGCATAGGCACCAGCTGCCTGACATGCAGATTATTATGATTTTCAACATAAACTTTTAATTTGAGGAATTAAATTATTTTCTCCTCTAAGCTTTGAGGAGCTCTGAGGTTATACTTTAGTGAAAATGTCTTCCATGGGATGGGATGTCTGTTCCCTGTAAGTTTCTTTATTTTTTGTAAGATAATAACAACACTTGGGTTGGCATTTCCTTTTTAAATGAGCATTAGCCCAGAAATAAAGTCAAATGTATGTGACATTGAAAAGCTTCACTTCATGTCTGCAAAATTTTCTGTGTACCTGTTCAGGAATGTGGACATGGAGACATGTTTCATTAGTGGAAGTTGCACCAAAGCTGCTTTATTGAGTTGGACTTGTGAGATGTGGGTAGAAATATGGGATCACAGAATTGTTAGGGTTGGAAGGAAGCTGTGGAGAATATCTAATGGCCCTGGCAAGGCAGGGTGAGCTAGAGCAGATTGCAGGAATGCATCCAG